CAAAATTGTACTATCATTATTCATAATATAATAGCAACGATGTTATTAGTATATAAACATATTATAATTTATTATTATTATTTAACCTTTATTCATTTATCAAATAAATTTATATGTCAGTTAGGATTAATAATATTATTGATAAATTTATATTAATAATATTATTAGTATATGTATAAATAACTTAATAATTTTTATAGATATAAATTAATAAATATTAATACATTTTATGAATTATAAATATATTAAGTATGATATAAATATATTTTTAGTAACTACAATATGCCACTAACTAAAATATTAACAATATTATTAATATTAATTCATCAATAATATTATTAACACCAATTTCTTATGTTAGTCGTCGCAAAGGATTAGAGTTAGTATTACTTTTTTTCCTCTATAACTAAAACCATGACTAATGTTTTCAAACAATTAACTCGATCAATGCAAATCCTTTGCATGTTACATTATCAATCAATGAAATTAAATCGTTATCACCGACGCTATTTATGAAATATAATTTCTATTGACTTTAACCAAACAATTAAAACGGTGCTTTCCCTTAATAGTCATTGGTATAATTTTTAATGATGACAAATTCAACTCGAATAAGCGTTTGATTTGAAATTTTGACTTGAATTAGTACGTTAGTTAATAAGGTGGATTAGATTCATCCATAACAGAAAGCTTCAAGCTATCGAAAAACTGAAAGTTACTATGGGATAGTTACAATTTACAAACCGCATTGAATTGTTAACGATGTCAATTGATCACTACGGGTGGACATGTTTTCATTTTCAACAACATTGAAAAAGGAGTTAGATTAGGAATCATGCATTACTTTTATTGGTATTGGTATTGATATGAATTGTGAAACATTAATGGTTTGAATTTTGGACACAGAAGGTGGGGCGAATGAAAGAAAGTATAGTCATTAATTATTTTTTCGGGTATTAATGTTGATACCGAATGTGAAACATTTATTAGTTTCATTTTTGGATTTATAAGGTGAAATAAATTACGGAAGAAAAACTACTAAAAATAGACATATAAGGTGGAAAAATTATTAGATATTATAAAAGCAAAGGATGATATATAATAAATCAAAATTATGTTTACATTAGCTTATTTTATACTTAGCATGCTCCTTGAATAAAAGTTAGTTCGGGTATCTCCAATTAGAATAATTTGATATTCTTAATTAAAAGAACAAGTTTTATGCAATTTTACTATTTGAATTAACATGATAATTTTTTACAAGAATGGTTAACCGTTTACAAAATTATTATTACAAGAAGAAGTGTTATATACAATAATATATAAAAAAAATGTCATTATAAATATAATATATGTGAATATAATAATCTATTTAATATTTATATATACATAATTTAAATATTAATTTTAAATGTGATTTAACAACATATTTGATATATCATTATAGTTTATATTTATATTTTTTAATAATATACTAATATATATTATATGTATAACATATATAAAATTTTCTTTTGATAATAAATAATGTAGTGAGATATAATTATAAGATTCATTTCAAGTTGTTATAAGAATTATTATAACATTGAAAACAAAAAGCTTATTAAAAATCTTAAATCTCAGCACATATAAAATCAAACTTAGTATTATGAAATTTACAACAAACTAACCAGTTGACTAAAACCATCCTGTTCATATACCAATGTTTTGTAATCTAACATTGAAGACTTTATTTATTTAAAAATAAAATATTTACTTGGAACTTTATAAAAGAAAAAGAAATACACTTGCAAGGCATAATAGAAGGGGAAAATAATTGTAGTGTTGTGTTGTGTCCCATCAAAATGAAGCAAAGTGAATGAAAGTCACGCGCCGCCTCTACTGGTGTGGTTCTACCCTTCCTTCCTGCTACTGTTATGTTATGTTATGCCTCGTGATTTGGGGCTACCATGCCATTCAAAATCCATGTCAAACGGGCCCCACACATCTTCCAAAAATATATTTCATATCTTAAATAAACAACACTTTCTTTCTTATTCAAAAAAATTATTTTTCATTTTTAACCATAATAATAATATAACGTGCATTCACTCAGCATCTCCATGATGAGGCGATGATGATGATGATTCCAGGCACATCACGTGGTGAAACAAACCCTTCCTCTTTCTGGTCAACATTCCTAGCGAAAAAGTAGCTGTTTTCATCAACAGAACTAGTTAAAGCTAATTAATCTTGGATTAATCAGTTACTCGTGCTATAATCCCCAACACTAATTAACCACCCACATTGGTTGAACCTAACCAGGGTTAAAACGTAACCTGACTTAGACTTGAAGAATCCAAAACATAGATAATACTATTAAAATGCCTAGGATTGCCATTTAAGTCATGATTGAGCCAATTTGTCACTCTGACCCAGGTCATAATTAACTCTGCATCCATTCACTATTTTTTGCTCTGTCTATATATATTATAGTTCCATCCATCACTGCAAAAAGCCTAAAGCCTGTTACACACACTGCCACCAAAGACCACCCTTTTTCTTCTATTTTGCCCTGCCCCTAAACAAGAGAAGCAGACACACACACACACATTGGTGGTTTCTTCTTCTAAAAAATGGGTGAGAAAGATGATGGCTTAGGGTTGAGTTTGGGTTTGAGTTTGGGAGTGAATCAACAACCTCCTCCTTTCAATCACATGCACAAACCTCAACAACTCCTTCCCATCAATCACAACAACATTTCCTTTGGTGATTTGTTTCACCTACCAGGTACGAGGTTTTTTTTTTTTTTTTTTTCAATCTTTTCTATGGATTGGTTTTTAGATTCTTCTCCTTAGCTTATTTCTTCACTCAATCTCCATTTTTTTTCCAAAATAATAAAAATGAACACTTTTTTCTCTAACTTTTGGAAGGTTGAACCTTTGTTGGTTTTTTAATAACTAACCCAATCAATAATAACCCAACTCAGATCCAGGTTCTAAAAAATGGTTACCATGATTTTTACAGTAGTGTCAAAAATTTTGGGGCGTGCTATATTGGATCATCTTTATTTGTAATTTCTTGCGATATCAAGTTATACCGAATTAAAAATTAAATAAATTTATCAAGGAGATTAAAATTTAAAAACAGTGTAATATCTACTAAATGTTAATGATTTCTCTATTTCTCTATACTCACCTAGTCACAGTTTTTTCATTTCTATTTTCCAAGAGTATCATTTTTTTTAATTACAAAACTGCCATTCCGTGAATGAACCACTGAACTCACGTGCAACTGCATGTAGCAGATCGGAGCTCCGACGTGGCGCGAGGAATCGACGTGAATTCTGCGGCGGAGTGCGACGAAGACAACGGTGTCTCGTCGCCGAACAGCGCGGTGTCGAGCGTGAGCGGCGGCAAGCGCGGCGAGAGGGAGGACGATAATGCCGCCGGCGTGGGCGGCGAGAGGACGTCGTGCTCGCGTGGGAGCGACGACGACGAAGGCGGAGGAAGCGGCGGCGACGGCGGGAGGAAGAAGCTGAGGCTGACGAAGGAACAGGCTATGGTTTTGGAAGAAACGTTCAAGGAGCATAACACGCTGAATCCGGTGAGTTAGTGGCATTTCTGTAAATTCCTTGCATGTTTAAGGGTATTTTTGGGTTTTCGTTCTGAATACAATTTTTTTTTTAATTTTTATTTAAATTTTAGAAAAGGAAGCAAGCGTTGGCAGAGAAGTTGAATCTGAAGCCTAGACAAGTAGAGGTTTGGTTTCAGAACAGAAGAGCAAGGTGAGGTTTTCAATAATCAATATTTTTTATTTTAAATTTAACAATTTGTTGACTTTATTTATATTTCCTTTTTCATTTTTGGGGGTTATAATGAGGGATGGCAACGGGGTAGGTTTGGTACGGGTTTTATGATACTCGTCCTCGTTCCCGCGAGTTCAACCCATCCCCGTTCTCATACCTGTTAGATATAGATTTTTATCTCATCCTTGTCCCTGTCGGGTATCGGGTATACCCGTACCCGTACCCGTCAATTTTTTATTTTTTATTTTTGTAAAAAATGATATTTTTAAATTAATTTTATTATTATTATAATTATAATTAGGTTATTTTTTTTATCTCATATTATAATAAATAATTACACATAAAAAAATATTAAATTTTTTAATATAATTAAATTGAAAGTAAGTATTAAATTAAAAATAAGAACGCGACGGGTACGGGTACGAGGCGGGTAAGTACATACACGTACCCGTACCCGATTTAATATATCAGATTTTACTCGTAGGTGTATCTGTACTCGATCAAACTAGATATTTCCCGTCAAAGTTGGGACAGATTCGGGTATTACCCACTTCACGAGTATATTTGCCATCTGGTTATAACGTTCATGGTGTTACCTAAGTTATATGTTGAACCCTAACTGAAGTGCACTAAACATAAAATATGAAAAGTAATGTGGTCAGAACGTTGGTATTTTCGATAAAAAAAAATTAAAAAAAAGTCGTATTAGTGAATGTTTTAAAGTTGCAATATTTTTTTTTTCAAAAAAATAAATTTGCAATATTTTCACAAACTTCAAGCGTTATGTTCTGAACGAGGGAATGAAATTACTAATATATTATTTTTTTAATCAGTAAAAGTATTATAATAACAGAGCAAAAATTGAACCTAAATTTTTATATATTTATTTGATTCGTTGCAACAATCTTAATACTTCTGAAAATTTATCTATATTCTTTAATAAATATTTTTTCAAACTCAAATATAAAAAAAAAACTTTTTTTTATGCATAAAAGTCTAAATTATAAGTAAATCTTAATTAGTTTTAACTTATTATATAATATTATTTGACATTTTTTTTATATAACTGAGTTTGTATTTTTCATGATTTTTTGATAAATCTCAATTCTTGATTATTGAGCTTGAATTTTTAATTCTTGATATCAAGTTTTAATAAAATATAATTTAGAAAATAATAAAATAGAATTAGTGAGATTTAAAATTATCAATTAATTTTCTTAACTAATGTTTTTATAAAACTTATATATGAGTTTCGAGAGAATATTTTATTAAAAAAGACAGTTTTTGTTGTTAGATTTTTTTTTGCAAGTATTATTTTTTATTGAAGGTACAAAGTATAGATAATGTGTATTCTTATTTATCTTTAAAGATTAAAAAGAGGATAATATAAATTCTTGACTGAGATGTATATGGGGAATGGTTTTGTTGTTCCTGGTCAATGTTAATTATTATTCTAACTGTTAAATGCAATCAAAGCTTTTTTAGTATAACATCAAAATTAATAATGGGTTTGACTATCCTTCCTTTGACCGTGATCAATGACACAATTATGTGACATAAATCTAAAGTTATCAATAGTTAATTAATTATGCGAAGAAAAACAACAATAAAAAAAAAATTAACGGGGAAGTCAAATATAAAAAAACATGGACACAATGGCCACCCAATTACATTACGACACAAAAATAATACAGTAGTGACGAATTTGGGGTTCTAACTTTGGGATTAGGATGGTGTAAAAAAAATTGGTATTAGGATTTAACATTTATTCAATTGTCATGAGACATGGTAAATAGTAACTTTTTTATCTTTAAGAATTATAATAACAATAATAAAATTTGAATAAAATTTTCTGTACATATTATCTCAATTTTATTACTAAATGAATGATTTTATAGTACATTAATTGTTGATGCATGTTTATGTTGTTAGGTACCCTATATATTAGTTGTCGTCAGTTCCATGCTGTATATTATATATTGTTTCATGGAATTGGGAATGAACTCCAATCTAATGATTTTGGTTCAATCAACACAGGACCAAGTTGAAACAAACCGAAGTGGATTGTGAATACTTAAAGAGATACTGTGAGAATTTAACTGAAGAGAATAGAAGGATGCACAAAGAGCTCCAAGAACTTAGGGCACTGAAATTATCTCCACAAATGTACATGCATATGAACCCTCCCACCACTCTTACAATGTGCCCTTCTTGTGAGCGTGCTCACTCCTCTGCATCCTCCTCCTCTCCTGCCACTGGCCACTCGGCAACTGCACCAAACAATCGTAAATTGTTTGGTGCAAATATTCGACGGACAGCACCGGTTAGCACATGGCCATTTGAAGGTTCAGTCTCTCGACCATAATTGATCGAGGGTAATGAGATGATTTTGGGGATGATGTCTAGACATTTTTAGTTACTAGACATGTATGCATGGAATGTGAAAAAAAAAATCAAATTAATTGCAATGGAACACTAATTTGTGGTTTGTCTAGAACTAGAACTCAAGGAAATATGAGATTTTGGTTAACTCTTTGCCTTTGACTTTTGAGTGATGGATTGTTCTTTTGTGTATGGTGTGGTATACGTTGTAGTCAAGTTCAGGATTTGTGTAGGGTAGATATGTTACGAGTGGGGTATGGTTTCATATGCCGAATAGTACTACAAGCATTTATTAGTTTAGACTTTAAAAAGAAGAGAAAGAGAATCCGAATCTGTGTTGTTCTCATCAAATTGGGATACCACTAATTCCTAGGGAAAAGGCTGGTGGTGGGAAGAGGGTTTAACGTGAAGGAATGAATGTGATTTCTCAGTTTGAGATTTTTGTCTATATCCCTTTGCGTACATTGCATTTAGCACTACAAGTGTAAATAAATACACAAAAAAATAACCATCTTTCCTTCATACTCCTTGAAGGAATATAACTATTTTGCGTATTAGAAAATGTCTGAATTTTCCTTTCTAATTGAGGGGTTTTCTTGAATGAGTCATGAGTCTCTCAATGACAAATTGTTTGGTCCATTTTTGCAAATGTACTAATTGGGATTTGATGTTATTTTTTCATTGATATCTCTTTTTTAAGTTATTCTAAAAGTAATTTTTAATAGTTATTTCATTCAATATTTTTTTTGTATAATAAATTTTAATAATTTGAGTATTTTAATATCATCTCAACGATTGTATTGTATGCATTAAAATTTATATAAACCGGACATTTGGTTTTACGGTCAATATTTATTTATATTTTGAAAACATATATTATACAGATTAAAATTATTTAATGGATTATTAAAATTATATAAAAAAAACTATTAAAATTATTTTTAAATTATATAAAAATTGATTTCTTTAACGAAAGTTTTTAATATTGAAATTCAATTAAGAATTATATATTGAATGAAAAAAAATTACTAAAAATTATTTTTGAAGTCATTTAATCTAAATGTATATATGTATAGGCACTAACCCAAGTGCCCTCTGATTTTCTTTTCCTTTGTTTATCTCCCATTACAAAAAAAAATAAAAAATACAAACACTTTGTTGTTGCATTGCTTGATGTTTGTTTCAAAATTAGTTTTTTTTTTTTTTTTTTAATTTGTGGGGGTTTCTTGCACAATCTTAGACAGTAAATAATTTTATCCAATTCCAATTTCTCAACTGACGTACTCTCCCAACTGTTAGGAAAACTTATAAGAAATTGTTCATCCAATAATTTTTTAAAAACTTAAAGAGAAATTGAATTAACCTCCATAAAAAAGTTATAAGTTGGTTCAACAAGCGCGCGTTGGCTTCAAAAATAGTTTAGTTATTGCGAGGACACAAAGAAGGATGTGACTACGCACTAAACACAAATATCAACCAACGGTTATATCACGTGATTTCGAAGTTTTAAAAGGAAGCATTAAAAAAGTAGAGTAAAAATAAAATGTGCCAAGAGTGCATTCTTTGAATCATTGGTTGCATCACATGTTCGGTTTGCTAACAGTGTAGGTCAAGAGTTTACTGTAGTTATCTCCATGATATAGGAGAATGTTGTTGTTGCTGTAGGAAGCCAACAAAAACAAACTAATGTGGTTAAGAAAGGAAAATCATGCATGGACCACCCCATGTTATTCTATATCTATGGTTACTTTGGTCTCATAGAAAAGGCAAAAAAAAAAAAAAAGGATTTGTGGGTAGAAAGAAAATGATATTTTTTTGATTGTTTGGAAGCTTAAAAAAAAGGAAAGAAATAAATTATTAGGTCTCATAGAAAACTTCTTTCTCTAGAATTAGGGGAGGGAAGAGAGAATAAAAAATTTGTATAAGGACAAAAGTACTTTCACTTATCAATCAAGGTTACATGAAGGTTCTATCTCCTTCCTGAAATGATGTTGAATGATAACCAATTCAATAAATAAAGGTTATTTTAAATACAACTTAAAAATTTATGTTGAAAATAATATTGCATATTAATTAATTATATTATAATATTAAAGAATAGATCATTTTTTTTCATCTACGTGTTAAATACATTATATATAGTCTATTGTGATACTATATTAATTATTTAGAATTAACTATATTTTATAATTAGTTTGATTAAATTTTATAGCAATGAAAATTTTATAAATAATTTTAACATAAAATACAAATGAATGATTTCAAAATCTTTGATTTTTAACCTCTTTTATATCCCATATATATTAGTCAGTGGTCAAATAAGTATAATAAATCGACAACTCAATCATACATATTCAACTTCAATACATTTTTATCTATTATTGAGAAGAAAAGAATGGACATTTATCCATTAAATTCCAAAACTCATAACCATATGCTCATTGTAACTTGACTCGTAATGTAAAAGATGAATTTCTCACAAAGAAAGACTTTCAAACAATGGTCTCAATTAACAGTTACAAGAGATTGATGAGATTACTTTCACCAAATTTGAGTTACTGTTTAATTTTACTCCTATATCAACACCATTAAAACAAAATGTGATATTCATGTCCCGTCCGCAAATAACACAATAACCATCATTTTATCTCTTAAAACTTTTGAAATAAAGGGATATTTGTCAAATTAATACTACAACAAAAACAGATATAATACTTGTCATTAATACGCCATCAAAGATAATTAAAATGATATCTAATAGTTTAATACATTAAATTAATATATTAATATTTGAAAATTAATGCAAAGAAAATATTTGTTGTGAAGTAGATAGTGAACAACAACAATATAAAAACATTTTTTTATGGAAATATATGAAACTTATAAATTAAAATAATCAACATTTGATGTCTAAATTTTTCTTGAATATAATATCTCTCCTTTATAAGATAATGACTTAGATTAATGTACTCAATTGAATAAGGAGTGGTAAAGTTGGAGTGTAAGTTGTCAATTGTAATCCTTTTAATTCTTTCAAGATGATATTTTTTATTTAAAGTCATTTTATACAAATGTGTTTTAATTGAAATTACATACGACATCAAGGAAAGTCAATTAGAATGAATATTTTAATTCAAACATTTCTCTTTCAATGAATTTAAGTACCTTTTCTTAATCATATTTTTTTAATAGTAAAGAAACTTTTAATTCCATGAAAACAACTATTAAAATCTATTATCATTTTACTCATTCAAGCATATAAGTATAATTGTGGCAATTAGTATAAAAGAAAACCTTCTCAAAAATGAATTCAACTTCTTTGAGCATAAACCATCTCAAATTTAAAGTCTTCTCCTAATCTTGGCTAATATAGTAGACGTCAAACAAATATGTTGATGCAATCAATATTTTTCCTTTTTGATTTCACATGACAATTCTAAAGTTTGTCCCCATGTCCTTTTTTTGATAGTTGCATGCCTACATTGATATTTTTCTTTATTACGAAAAAAAAACTGAAGGGAGAACAACACTACACAAAAACAAGACAACTTGACCTGCAAAACATGTCTAAATATTGAGTTTTGTTCTCAATTAAGTGTAAGTGTAATGTATGTAATTTTGCAACCTTTTTGATAGCTGAAGTTGAATGATTTTTACACTTGTGGTTGTGGGACATTAATTTCATACATTAATTTTACAATAATTGAACTAAAATAACATATATATATATATATGGGGTTTGCTAACATCCTCCCACACTTTTTTTAATGGGAGTATTTTAGCATTCTACACCTTTTCTTTTTGACAAAAAAACCATTTCTCCTTTTTAAAAACAGCTTACACTAACATGGTAAAACTGTAATTTTTCATGCTGCATCGATTCTCGTTAATTTGAAACTCATGAATAATTAATGAGGTTACACTTGTCTCTTGCGAATCATTCACGAGGTTTAGGGCATCTTCACTGCCTGCATCTGAAGTCTTTCCATTGTGAGTATTTGCACATTGGTTGCTATTATCCTCACAGGACACATATTTTGCCCCATTTTGTTGTCTGTTGAAATTCTTATCTTGTCATTCTCATTAAAAATAATTGAAGACACTCAATCCTCCAGCATTATGCGACATCATTCCTACTGTTATCCCAAACTTGTACGTTATTCAATCATCCCTTGTCATTTATTTATTTGTTTGTTACATTCTTCACCTTTTCTCTTTGAAATTTAATGGCTTTGCACCTGTTACTTCTATTTTATGTTTTTGTATTTGAGTAGTATTTCTTTCTTTTCCTTTGTATTTTAGAATTTTATACACTTTGCTGTTGTCTATTTGTGTTAGATTGCTATGTTTTTTTTTAACAAATTGCATAAATTATGAACGTTGATTCCACTTATGAATGACTATTTAGTTGCTTTATTTTCTATTTAAATATGAAAAAAATCAGATTTAAGCTAAGATCACAATGGCATTTGAAGTAAGAGATGGTGTTGGTGATTGGCCTTTAGAGATTTTTAAAGACTGTGCTTCTACAAGTGAAATTGATGGAAATACAGTTTCTTTTACATTTCAAGAGTCTCAAGAAGAACCACTGCTTGAAGCCAATAATATTTATGATGAAGTTCCTTATGAAGGGAAAATGTTTAATAGCTATGATGAAGCTTATGAATTTTCTTATGCATTTGCACGAAAAAATGGCTTTTCGATTAGACGTGAACATACTTACAAATCTAGTAAGAATCAAACTGAGGAGAATCCATTGGGTATTTATAAAAGGGAATTTGTTTGTCATCGTGCTGGTTCTGTTAAACAGCGCAAATTTATTGAAGATGAAAGTCAAAGAAAACAGAAAAGTTCAAGATGTAATTGTGGGGCAAAAATGTTGATTAACAAAAAGACAATTGACTTTGAGGAAAAATGGGTGGTTAAATATTTTTATAATTACCACATCTTATTAAGTAAACTAAAAACTTTTGTTAACAAGTAATTATATTTAACATTAGAAGTAAAAAAGTTGGTATATATGTAGGCTTACATCAGAACCTTCGGATGCTGAAGTTGTTAGTAGGCATATTGCAAACACAAGAATTAATAATGAAGCAGGTGATT